TAATAAGTGTGTGTGGAATAATGGAAGTTTCACCAATATGCCAGCCATTCCCGTTTTAGATGTTTCCCTTGACTTAATGTCTCAGAGGTTCATGACCATGAAATTATGAAAAATATGATTCACAATTTTAAACATATCATATTTGTCATTAGAACTCAAAATAATAGTGTTATTTTGTAGGATTTTACAAGAATAAAACATCTTGCAGCTCAATGACATCTACATTGGTGGTGGCCAACGAGTACCAAGATGTACGTGAGAGAGCCTGCATGGGTAGTGTTCATTTGTTTGCCTGCACATGAGCCTTATTATCCTCATCATCAACACCGTCATTATAATCATCATCATCTTCAGATCATCCAGAGAGTCAGCTCAGGCAGGTGTGCATTTCTATAGACCCTCCCCGGGGCAAAAGAACGATAGCAACAGCACCGCAAAACTCATGATGCTGCAGTCTGCTTAATGTGAGGTATCATCATCAACAGCACTCAGCGTTATCTCACACCTGCCCAATCAGGAGTGCACTGTAAGGTTGAAAAAGGTAGATGTCTTTAATACGGCAAGATGCTGCGTTTTTTTGCTGAAAATGAGTTTGACAAACAGCATTGTACGTTATGTTTTTAATTGTCATCCTCAATGTCTCAAAACTTGGAGGGTCGAACTTTCTTTTACCTCTGAGACTCAGATCTGGGACACAACACTTGTGACCTGTTTTTTGGGGGGGTTTCTTGGGATATATCCCTTCAAATATCCTCCCTCCCAGAGAGGAATGCTCATCTGAAATGTGCCTGTGATCTAAAGTAATGGAAGTTTAGTTAGGATGAGAGAATTCTTTAGATCTAAAGCACTGGAGGTTCCCTTCGTTCTTTGAAGGGTTTAAACCAGCAGGAAAAGCAAACAATTCTCCAACTCCACTTTAATTTCTGTCTCTTCCCTTCTCCTCCCCCCGTTTCCCCCTCTAAAACATCCACTAATAATCATCTCTGTGCCTCATTAAGAAGCAGAGGAGTAGAGGCACAGGCTGCTCCAGATGTTTGGTGGAAAACCCCTGAGGTCCGGCGTCTGTGTCAGAGAGCTTGCGTGTATCTGTCTGTTGTAATACGCACTATCAAGTGTGCATGATTGCGCGCATGTGTGTGTGTGTGTGTGTATGTGACACCGCTATAAATGTGTGTGTTTGATACTTCCTGCACTGTCTCCAGGCATCACTCTGAATGTTCCACTGCCCCACTTACACAGCAGGCGAAGGCAGCGAGGGACAAGATTCACTCTATGAAAACACTAGATGGAGACACGGACTCACTCTGCCATCTCTGCAAAATTTGATAATCAGTCTCTTTGTCTGCTGGTGTTGTCACAGTGAGCAATCTGTCAGTCAAGACATGCAGGTGGCAGTAAAGGATTTGAATGATTTATGGGGATGATGCTGACGGTTGACAGTTTATTCAAATCTGGTCCAGTTAACCGGTCTCCAACTTTGTTGTGATAGTTTTTTAATTGCTTATTCTTTGTAGAATTGATCAGTGAATTGACCACATATTGTCTGTTAATATTACTATTCTTTAAATACAATTTAAATCCTGGAGTACACAATGAGCACTTGCTTTTTAGAAAATCAAGACATTTTCGTGATTGCTGTATAAGTGTTTTTCTTTCAAAATGCTGCCACACTTTCTAATGTCTGATCGCATCATCAGCTTGAGACTGAATAATTCACACTCCCTTTGTAAAATCAAGGTGAATGAAACATGAGTGAAAGTGGTGAGACTGTTACCCGCTTGTCATAAATGTCTCCGAGGTCTCATCAGATGCGGCACCTGGCAACCAGCATGCAGTGCAGGATGTAAATAATAAATCTTCCTGTTGTTTTTGTTAAACATTTGCATTTCACCAGATCCCACAGTGGGGCGAATGCACACTGATAAAAGGTAAGAATGAGAAGAGAAAAATAAACCGCAAAGTGAGAGGAAAATGTAGCAATGTAGGAATAGGAATGTAGCAATTGCACAAATAACAAAACTTTGATTTCTTTTGCTTCTTTGCCATTCATTTGTAAACTCAAAAATGTACTTTATAGATGGCTCTTTGGACTAAACATGTATTTAATGCCTGCATTTTGTTTGATTGGATGTAAAGGGGCCCCACACGTCCCAAACTAGACTGAACCAGTGACTTTTAGTGACCTAAAAGCCTTGTTTTCACAGAAGACATTTAGACTTGTCACAGTAAAGCACAGGGGGAAATAATAATATTGATGCTTCAGTTTCAGGCTCCTGGTATTGTGCATGCTGGCTCACTGTCACACTGTCTGTTACTAGGGCGCTTTTTTAATACAACGGAGCCCTCGTTAACGTTATTACTAACACCTGTGCTGTTCCTATTGGGACATGCCGAGAGGCCAATTACTGTGACTACATGATGGATTGTTGTTGGTGTGTGGGAATGGAAATGGGATGGCAGTGTGTATATTTTCACTGTACTGTGTGTGTGTGTGTGTGTGTGTGTGGTTAGGCTTCAACAGTACCGATTACAGCGCTAGGTTCGTCTACGACCTAATTATCTTTCATAAAACACATTTTACACCTCTGCTACAGATTCGTCTGACAGCAGAGACAAAAGCCACCACTTGCAGTGTTAAGCCTTACAATTTACTGAATGTGAGACAGAAGGTCAGTTCCTACACGTGTCATACTTGATCTTGGTGAAGATAAGAGCAAGCAGCAAAGAAGCCAGGTGCCATCAATCTAATCGCTGCCTGCCTCTGCAGCACCCTGCTGTCTCAATTGAAAAACAATGGTGAGTGAAAATGAAAATTGAGTGCGGTAATTTGTTATTTGTGAAATTGGGTGTTGTAAAATGGAATTGGCTCTCATGTTTAAATATTTACAACCCCTTTGCAATCATGCCCCCAAATTCTGCATATCTTTATGTCAGCCCTTTTTAATGACCTGTTCTTCCTTGGCTTGAGATGTGAGTCGGTGTAACTGGTTACTGCATTTAACTGGAATTACCCTTGCTTATTTTTTTGGATCACTTTTTCTCATACTGTGTAATCTGGTGAAGTTTCTCTCTTGACCGATCTGACTGAAGGTATCTGGCCAGAGGAAAAGAGACGTGCCTGAGCCAGAATGGGCAGTGAAATCACTTTCTCAGAGGGCTCAAACCTTCTGCTGCTCAGGAAAGCCAACCATATGTTGAGCAAGTGGCGGTGGTGCTTAAGTTCAGCTTGAGGCTTTTAGGGAGAAACCTCTGCACCGTCGTCCTGGAGCTTGCTGGAAACGCCAGCCACGATAACAAGAAGCTGTGCATTGCTCCTCAGCACATGTTGTTGGCAGGCAAAAATAATGTAGAGCTTAACAAACTGCCGACAGGGCTGACGGTCATGGAGGGTGAAGTATGCCGACACACACAGGCCAGCCGGAAGACCAAGGTGCCCATGGATTATAGATGGGCTGAAGACATTCAGTCTCAAGAGTTTTAATTGTCCTTGAAGAGCTCGTCACATTACAAAATAAAGTATTTCATTTAAAATAACACAAGTCGTTATTACTTAGTAAAACACTGAGGTGAGCGGAGACGAAAAGGTGAACATGGGAAGAAAGTGTTTGATGGATTGTTAATTAATTGATTTGAGATCATCTTTATTAAAACGCCCTTCAGTATATTTTGTTGACTTCAAAGTATAATATTCACCAAAGATCAGCATATTATTCTTGAGGTCATAATTTGCTTCTTTTACAGATGGTGTGGCTGTGAAGCTCAGAGAAGGTCTCATAAAGGGTCAAACTGACAGCCTTGTCATGTCATAGGCTTCACCAACAGGTGGCAGCAAACAGCTCAACTCACTCAGTCAGGAAGCTTCATTTAAAGAGGGAAAGCTAAGGAAGAGTCATGGCAGTGATAACCATGGTGTCCTGGAAGCTGAATGGTTAATGGTCATACCACTGCAAAGTTAATGGTTGGATTTCATCTTTGTTTGCCTCCTTGTCTGATATCTGCATGTCTGCTATTATAGTGTGTCTGACAGTATTATGGAATGGGCTCTACAGAGAAATAAAACTTGTTTCTTTACCTTTCTGTTGGTCCCCTGTTTGTTATTGTGTGTCAAGCTCTGAGAAATCCCTTTCTGAAATTGTGCATTGGCGTTGCTTCCACATTTTTGGAATCATCTAAATATTCAACCATGACATTGAACATCTTTTAGATAACACTACGCTTTTTGTACTCTCACCGACTCCAACACAACAAACTGACAACCTGACGTTCGGTGGCACCTCTCTCTCTCCATGTGTCACTGACTCTTCCGGTAACAAGTCATATGACACAAACACAATCGGAAAGAGAAAACTTTTATTTCAATAATCCAGTCAGACACTTAACAACAATCCGAGTCTGAAAGTGGTAAAAAAAAAAAGCACTTTGGTAGACCTACATTGATGGTGCACATTTGCCCAACATGATTGCTTTGCAGCCCGTCTGGCTGCAACCTGCTCCCATAACAATAGACTAATTTAAAAAATTGTCATCCCCATCAGTCACTTAGACAAAAAAACATAGGAAAACGGGGTCCAGGTTGAAAAATTCCAAAGTTACCCTTTAAGTATTTCCAAAGTCCTGGCAACCACCCTAAACTGTTACAAGCAGTCCTGAGGTCAAATACCTCTGATCTAAGATCTTTATAAGACCCACAGTATGAGTACAAACTTGTATTAATGAGTGCCACCAGAGGGAATTGAACCATTTCACTCATGACTGTGTTAGTGCCTTGCTAAACTCCACTGCTCCATGCACACTGTTCCTCGGTGGGCGTGAGTAAATGGCCCCAGCCCTCTCTAAATATAACTCCCCTCCAAAACAGAACGAGAGAGAGACGGAGGGAAGGGATAACTCACCCAATCAGAGGCGGTCTAAAAAGTTTTTTGTTTTTTTTTTTCGTCAGAATACAGTGTGTGTGTCTTATATCGTTTTGATCCATTTGTGGCCCCGGGTGGTGCTGGTGGAGAGCGCAGCGGGACGCGCATTGTCTGTATGCAAACTGGACGACATGGCCATTGTATGCGTTCAGGCATATATGGAGGCACCGATAGCTCGGGGGGAAACAGCCCGTCTGAAGTCTCAGGAGTGAAGAGCCCTCGGCCGTGTTGTGCGCGTTTCCCTCCTCTCTTCTCATTAACCGCTCGGGTCCGTCGCTATGAGTTGCCTGGATGTGATGTACCACCAAAGCTATGGAGCGCACTACCTCCCTGCAGCGGCATACAAGGCGACGTACTATAACCACCATCACCAGCAACAACAGGTGAGATATTATTCATACAACTTTTGAATCTATCGAGTTACATAACCTTACTTTTTTTAGTTTCGAGTACTGGACATTTCACTAGCTCATGTCTCCTTGGAAAGAAATGTGTGGCATAACTAATTAAGGACAACTATTTTTGATAGGCTGCTAAAGAAAATGTGTAAGTTAACTTTTGGTGTATATATATAGGCCTACCATAAAGTTAAGTTAGAGAATGTGACCTCCCCTAAATATTGTGTAGACTTTTCACAAGCACATACAAAGAAAAATCTTACTTATTTTAGTTTTTCTCTATAAAGTGTTTGACTATATTGCCTGACTTCTCTTCAGGACACCACTTCAAACTTCCATTACCCCTCATAAGCACCCCTCTTAACTTCAATTTCAGTTTTGAATGATTAAATTCCGGCCTGATGTTCGGTATTCACTTCAGGTCAGGCGTAATGACACGGAACTATTAATCCTGCGGTCAAATGGTGATGTAATGACAGCCGGTCAGTCACTCAGGAATGTGGATGGGGCACACTGAGCTTTACAAATAGTTGGAATGCAGTGTGGGGAAAAAAGTAACTTATTTTCACACAGCTTCCAAGCCTATGATTATGGTACTTAGAAATGGTTTATGTTTTTATTGTGTGGAAAACTACGGTAGCATCACCAACATGTGTAATAAGATTTGGCTCTTTATTCTCCATCTAAAAAAAATTGTAAATTATTTGCTGATTCTATTAAAATGTAGTTTACTTCTGGTTTGATCTGTAAATGAATCCCTTTCTATCTCTGTCTCTTCCTCCAGAGGAGGCTGAGTGTTTACAGTAAGATGCAGGAGTGTATGGAGCAGCAGCAGCAAGGAGGAGGAAGAGGGATGCTTTCCAGGGATCAAGGCCTTCAACAGGGTCCTGCAGCACCAGAAACCGAATCGGGCCGTAGATCCACATCCGATTCAGACCTGAAGGATGGTCCTCAACCAGCAGAGGCAGAGTACTTGAGCTCCAGCTGTGTTTTGTTCACCTACTTCCAAGGCGACATCGGTGACGTGGTAGACGAGCATTTCTCCCGGGCTCTCAGTCAGTCTAGCACCTTTAACAGCGAGACCAAACCTATCAGAGTGACTCAGCCGTCAGCCTCAGCCATGTCTGGCTTATGGAAAGGTGAGGGGTGCAGTAAATTAAAATAGTTCTCAAAAAGCTTAGTTATTCTATTCCTTAAAGCACTGGAATTATTGTGTTGCCGTGTGTTTGTGTCTTTGTGATGCGATTGTTTCAGATGGGTCTCTCTCTGAGGGTCAGAGCAGCTCAGTGTGGAACAGCACCTATCCATCCCAAGCCAGCCCTTGCCTTCCATCTGTCTCTGTCTCAGTCCACCCAGACTTCTCTTCCAGCCCCGTTTCCTTCAACCACCCAGATGGAGGTCTGTGGGCCGATCACGTGCTCTCCCAGGCCAGCCTCCCCCCTCCGGCTGCCCTCCACGACAGCTGGGCCTACAGCCTGAACCCCCCGAGTTCAAGTGGCTACCCCAACGTCCACAATGTCTACCATCCACACCCTCACCCCCACATCCACACCCGGCACCACCACCCCATGCTCCATTCATACCCAACCCACAGCTCAGCGTTGGATCCCAGGTTTAATCCTCTGCTGCTGCCCGGTGTTAGGACCCAGAGCCAGCCGACCGCCAGCACAGGGAGTTCCCCACCCAGCGAGGGGTTGAAGACGGAGATGGACCCCAGCAGCAGCAGCAGCAGCGCCGTCACGGCTACCTCTGTCACCTGGACTCCCTCGGCCCTCCATGGATCCTTGGAGGTGTATGACTCAGGTAGATACAAAGCAATACATTCACTTTCAAGCATTTGTTAAACTTCACCCGTCACCCAGTAAGTGACACTCAGCACATTAGTAATTCCCCCTTCTTTCTTTCTCTCCTGCAGCTCTTGATCAGACCAAAGCAAAGACGTCAGTCTGGTTCTAACTGATGGACTGACATTGAGAAAAAAGGAATCAATTCACACCAAAAAGGACCTACTATGTGGCTCTCTCAATGTATGGCTGCAAAACCAGCACTGTAATGTACATTGTAGATAGAAGGCTTACTGTAGCTTAGACTATGAGTCTTGCACTGTCAACAGAACTTATTATGGAGGTGAACTCAGGCTTTGGACTTAAATGACAGTGATCTCCTGCTTTGGCTGCAGGTCAAGGGTCGCGAAGAATGATTAAAAAAAAACGGACTACTAGCTTTAAGAATGGGAAGCCTCTTCTTCTCTCATGGCACAAAACTGCATTTCTCTTTCATGCAATGTGAGACCAAGTGGTTCTGTTTCAAGAGCTTGATTTTGATCCACATTTTGTTTTGTACAGTAAATGTTGTAGATGACTCTAAATGTTTTTGTGTGTACCGTTTTGCCATGCTAAGTTGTTGTTTGCTGGATGACTTTTGCTAAAATTCTTGCCTGAATGCTTCTTTACTTTTTGCCTTAAGGGATTGTGTAGTGTAAATATTGGTATTATATGTTTCAGTAATAAATTGTTGAACTGTATTTGCACTTGAAGGTTCTTTTTCAGGCATACATTTACTAAACATGTAGAATCCAGGGAAAACATTTTCTTCCAAGTCAATCCTCTATTTTCTAGAGGGTATTGAGCACATCAATCGAAAATGTGTTCAATTCATTCAATTTCATGCTCCCAAGAGACATACATGTGTTGTGCAACTCATCGTACATAACTTTTCCATTACATCAAATCAGACAAAAGTTTCCTTTAGTAAGATACCAAACGACAATAATGTGTAGTGCTTTTGCCATTCACCTAAAAAGAAGGAAAATTGGGCAACTGGGCTCTTGCTCAAAATAAGAACTACTGAATAACTTTAATATTTCAGGTACAAACAAGGCTGGAGTTGAGTTACACTGTAGGGAAGTGGGTTGCATTCCACAGACAGTTAGATACCATGACATGTCTGTTGTCTGTCTCCAGACAAACACGCATGTGAAAACACACACTCCCAGACTGAGAAACACACACCAAGGAATGCATTTCCTGTCTGGACAGGAAGTTTGTCAGAGTGGCAGACTACTGAGACATTCAAAGACACAAGCAGAAAGACATATTTCAGGTATACACAGTAAATGATATAAAAGATCTCATGCATATTCAAATAAAATAAAAAAGCACATGCACTGAAACAGCCTGGAGATCAGTGTTTTAATCTACATTCAAGAGAATTCAAGAAGTAATGGTCATTGGTATGAGCTGGTTGCTGCTTTAAATACATACTTCAGGCTCGCTCCAGTGCCAGGACAAGCGATATTTGTACCCATCCTGACATAGACAACAGCTGGTTGAGTTTGTGCCGTCATGGCTCTGTGTATGTGTGTGTGTGTGTGTGAGTGTGTGTGTGATGGTGAGCAGTCTGACCAGGTGGATCAGCAGTAGCAGCCCACTAACATTCCACCCTCCTCCCCCACGTCACCCATTCTTCGCTAAACATCAGGATTTCATTTCTGGATCTCAGCTGCTGTATTTCCATCCAAAGTATCAACAAATCAATCATAATGCATCAAAATGAGAAACCTTAGTGGAAAAGGCTAATCCAACACTCAGAATTGATGATATTTGTTTATTATCAAGAAAAACTTTCCACGTCCACCAAGTGGATCAGGTCGATGATAAGATTTTACTGAAATCTAACAATAAAGGGCAATCCGATCCACGCGGACAAGCTTGATAATAATGATTATCATCAATAAATGTCATTATAAATGTCATGAGCAGTAGTCTACAAGAGTCCGGTATACAGTATACTGTACATGTATACTGTATATATAGTGACAAGTGAATTTGAAGACTATTGGTCTTAGTGTAATTGCCAACATGCAAGTTGCTGTCTATTACTTTGTTCGTATTTGTATGAATCGATGGACATCACTCAGTATGAACAACATTATCAGACACAGAAGTGTATCAACAAAACACACAATTGATCAATTAATTGGTTGCCTGTACCTCTTCCTAAAAATCCTCCAGTTGTGGGTTTATCTTTCATATGGTTTATGTGTTAAGATACTGCCATGTTTTGCCCTGTTTGAGTTAATTTCAGCAGTAAAACAATAGGCTTTAATTTACATGTAAATGTTACACATTCATACAGAAAACCTGTCAGCAAGCTGACATCTTTATAATTGTGTATTACGATTAATTTGCTGTTTGAAATTCTGTAAATCGCCCATCAGGTTATTTAATACATCAGGCCTCTGAGATTGTTAGAGCTCACAAAAGAAAAGCAAGAGACCAGGTGAAAAAAAGACCAGACGAAAGGAAAAAAGGAGACTTTAGAAGATTTCCCTGCTAAGTATACATCCTTCCCTCTCCTCTCCTCTCCTCTCCTCTCCTTCAGAGCTCCTTATTAGCATTAGCATATAGCTTCTGCATCAGCATGTAGTGTTCTTATATGCTAACTAACAGGCCTCCCACTGGAAGGCTTGGAAAATCACCACAGGCACTTCCACTGCAGGAAGAAGAGATACAGTAATATAGAGCTGGAGGCTGCATAAAAGTGAATTAATATTTCAATTATACAAAAAGGGGTATAAAAACGGGTCAGTCAGACATTTAGGAAATGTTGCTTGTGTAGCATTTGCTTTTAATTAAAGTTTAAATCTCTGTTGCTTTGTGCTGATATTTAAGATCTTCAAAGCAATAATTGCTGACATTGTCATGCAGTATACGTGTGTATTTAGCAACCCTATATCACTAGTGGATAATATATGGCAGTGAACAAAGCAATACTAATTTAATAAGTGTTGTTACCACAGTTTGGTACAACTTTCCAAATGGATAGATTTTATCTTTGTTAATCTCAAACTTACACTTGTATACGTCAGACAACCCCAATTACAAGCCCAAACACACACGCCTGTATGCACATACACACACACACACACACACACACACACACACATGTTTCCAGGCACAAAAGACACCAAATGAAAAAAGGATGAGCCTAAGACCAATCTGGGGCTTTGGGTCCTCATCTCCTCATTGCCATGATTGCCTCTTTTGTAACCAAAAAATGTATTTCTTTTCTGGAACAGAAAATGGCATTCATTTTAAGAAGTGTAAGGAGATAGCATTATTTTTTCTTTATTTTCTTGGAATTCGCATTTTCTCCTGACCTGGACAGCCTCGTTTGAACCTTTCATGCTGAGTCAGACTGAGCTTCCTGCCCTCTAAACCCCAGCCGGGTTCTTATCTCTTTAATTTTTTATTTCTTTTTTTTTTCAAATGTGTAATTTCCACATTCAGAAGAAGGGCAGAGGGAAGCTAGAGGTTGAGATAAGATTAAGGCATTTTCCTTCATTTACTGAACTAAAAGGCAAAAGTTAAATATTTGAGGTTTATTGATATTTGGTTTATTATTTAACGTCTGTTGTTATTTTAACCCAAACCCGATCGTTGCCTAAACCTAACAAAAATGTTTCCTGTGAAAACAGACGTTCATTTTGAAAAAACGTATTCATCTGATGAGCGCAAACTGACACGTTGCTGAACATTCAGAAGGAAACGCAAGAGAAATGAAAAACAACTTTTCGTAAGATATCATATGAGCCTTTGTATGAGGAAACGTTGAGCCATAATCTTACCTACAAAAAGGAGCAACATAATCGCTGTGTCTCAGGTGACTGAGAAATGACACATCCGATAGCTGATCCTGCCGTAAATGTGCCGTAGATGTGTTTCTTCACAATTTGCTTTGTTAAGGTCCCGTGGGAATATCCAGTTTATCTGTGACCAGCCAGCCGCTTAACTGAACTGGATTTAATTGAACCGAACTGAATTCAATGGAACCAAATTGAATTGAGTGCTGAAGAAACACTAAGGAGACAGAAAACAGATGCTGAAAGAGAGTTGCAAAGTGGAGAGAGTCGGAGTCCACAAAAACAGATGAAAGGAAAGAGTGGGAGAGAGAGAGAGGGAGAGCTGATCAGTCATAACACGGCCTAGCTACACATTCCAGAGTAATTGAGCGGATGATTAGTCTCACAATCAGCAACACAACACTAGCTGTCTGAACACAAAACTATATAAAACAGAGATCAGGACGGTGAGGAGAGGAGAGAAAACACTAAAGGCGAGTTAAAGAGGCGTATGGCAATCATAACTTCACTCCCTTTTCTTCCCTTTTCCCTTCATACAATCCTTTTCTCACTTCCGAGAGCCAGCTCCCCGCCTACAAATCACGGTGGTAATTAGAGCTAATTTGCCCTCCTCGTGCGAGTATTAGGGGTATTAGGGGTATTAGTGAGAGGCTCAGCTTTCACCACTGTTTGTGTCAACAGGGCAGCCTAATGAAGCGTGCTGGGAGTGTCAGAGAACACTTGTCCTGCTGATTATGCTCGATTCGCAAAGTCTCCTTTGTTAAATGATACCTGGTTGCTCGTTGGACTTGGAACACCCAGGGAGAGGAGATGGCAGTTAAACATCAATATTTGATCCTTTTACATTACACGTCATTTGATCTACTGTGAATATAAAAATATTGATTAGAGCAGCTTTAAATTGCTTTTTTTAATGTATTTTTATTGAAGTATCAATGTAGTTTTGTTTGCTTTACTTTCATCTTCCTTGCCTTTATTTCCTACACAGCTGCTGCAGTAAAGGTAACTGAATTTGAAAAATGTCAGCAGAGACAGTATTAGTTTGATGAGACAGCTAAACAACATTCATTACTTCAGAGACATCAGCACTGCTCACTGTGTTGTTCTCTCGCAGAAAAGGGAATGCACTGAACAGCTCCTTGAGTATGGCTTCACTTGCATCCCTTCAGGAAGTTTATGTGGCACGAGGGAGGAACGATTTGCACAGGTCCATGATCCTGAGCATGGCAAGGATCAGGTCTGTTGGATCTCCAACAGCTGAGGGCAGGCTGTTAAATCAAAATTCAACACACCCTCACACTAGAGGAAAAGATCAACATTTACGCCTGTTTACAATGTACAGCAAGAACATCCACCCGTAACACAGGCCAGCGACATTCCTCAGCCTGCCCACACACAGAGCGGCCCCTCCCCTGACCAGATTTCTGAAGATGGATTTTAGAATCTTCGCCTCAACAAGGTCGGACTCCAAATATCACAGATTCAGATTGCAATGGACACTGTGGTAACGAAAGGAAATAATGAAATGAAACAGCTGGAAAAGAATCAGGAGTTCAGTTGGATTGGGGAAATAAAGATGAATACACACAGAATATAATAACTTCATATTTTTCTTTTGCTCTTGTTTGCTGCCAAGTCCATTTACTAAACTACAATCCGTTCTTCCCATCAGAGGGAAAGGCACTCCATTCATAAAGGCCGGAGTAGCTGCAGCAGCAGTAGGTTTTCCTGTCAGCTCCACTCTGGGTAATGTGCCAGTAACCACAGAGGCCAGTACATAGCTGTCATTCCTCTGCTCACTGAAAGCACATTTAGCAACCAACACCTGT